AGTATCACACCACGTCCTTCTCGAACCTTCGTGAATTATCGGGAGACTACTAGATTGGGGGTAGTTTGGTATATATAAGATGGTCACAACGTGACGGGATAAGGAGTAATTGAATGTATGCGGCAAAATATTGTTGGCCATGGGAGACGTGAGTTATAGTGTTTGATTATAGAGAGACTGTATCGCAAAGTGATATTCAGAAAGAATAAACCAGTTTTATTTAAGAAAGGACTTGTGTCGCTAAAGTTTCGTCGGAACGAAGTTACGGAAAATTAACTAACGAACGGAGACGTAACAATATATATATATATATGTATATATATAAAAGTATGTATATATACTTTTATAAAGTTTTAAATATAATATTGTGGTGAAATATTTAACCTAATTGTAACGGTACCCAACTTAAAGGGTTAGTATTCTTACTTACCAACTGTTGACGGGCTAAATAAAATTGTATGGCGAGCAGAATGCGATCTTCCCATCCATGCACTAATTGAAAGATGCATTTTTAGAACTTCTTGTGTACAAACGCTAAGTTTTATGTTACATAGCATATTAATGAAGTGTATTTGAACGCTGGAACGATTAAATACATATCAGTTTATCTGGTCAGTAAAATATATAAATAAATTGAGCAATTAGGTGAAGTTAATTAGATTTCTGAGTGACGATCGGCTTTACCATTCTCGCCTTTTGGTTCCTCTACTACTTAAACGTTATTGTTTGTAACAAATATTTTTTGTTTCAGCTAGCTTCTAAAAAATAAAACGTTGATTATGTAATGAAATTCCAGCATATTTTGTTACACGTTTTTGCAAAAATTCATGCTATCTTTGTGAACCCATCCATTCTAATGTAATCAGTACCAAAAATGTTATGACTACACTATACATAAAAGCCTTTGTTTTATAAAATCATCATCTAGCAGTCGAAAACTTAAATTACAATTTTCGGGGAAATGCGAAGCGTAATAATTTTTTTTTATGAGAGAAGAACATAAGATCATGACGTATTTAATCTATTTGTCGGTTTTGGAGAATTCGTACGATTAAATATATACAAACAGACGGGGCGAGAAAATCGTCGATTCAACCCAATATACACATGAATGGGACATTATTATTTCATTATCCCAAACCCGATTACTTCACTCGCAGGTGTGAACGATATAAATATAATAATAACTGCATTTCTTTGGTTTTTTAACCCAAGCTGTGCTGATGAGCCTTGAATAAGCAATCCAGAGCAGTGGGTGCGGCGAATCAAGGAATGCATTAGACGTCACAAATTAGTTTTCAGTTCTACTTTTGGTGAAATGAAAACAGATTTTTAATATAAATATGCTAGTTGTTCGATCATTATGACATGTAATAATAATAACAATGTAAAGCTAACAATGAATACATCACTTGATTTCACAAAAAGTCAATTGACTGACACACAGCGCGAAAAAAATCTAAAAACTTTAATGCCTACCCATAATTCTTTGCAATAACACAAACATAACTCTCCAATAAAATAAGACCATTCATAGTGCTAAACATGTATTGATATGAGTTCAAACCATACGTCAAATGCAACAATCATACAAGATTTTAAGTAATCTATATGCATTCTAAGGGCTCCATAAGGTATAAAAAGCTTCAAATACTAAAAGTTCATATAA